CCATCCAATGTCTACGGTAACATTTCCGGAGTAGTAACTTAGAGATAAAATTCGCGCAAGTCGAACATTGTTCTAATTCGATACCTTGACCGCAAGATGCTATAGATCTGTCTGCTCGACTGGTATTCACGTGCGTACTCAATTGGTAAATGCTGGGCCGAGCTCTTAAGGGAAGCAATGGCGCTTGCTACGAACCTGGTTCAGCCTAGGGCGAAGCTCGCCCCAACCGCATTATAATTATTCACCAAACGCACGAGCCACAACTATCTGTTCCATCGAATACCATGGTATTTCTTGGTCTTCCCCATGGCGCTTAGAGAATCTAGAGAATATGACAAGAAAGCTCCCGGTGTGGTCGCGGTGTTCGTACCTTCTACCTAGCAGCAGCGATATATGTCGCTTAACGATATCGGGTATAGCACTGCATGTAAATGTGCTTAGTGGGTGCACGGCACGAAGAGTTTATTAGATTCAACCTTATGAAAAGGCATTGTTAAGCTTCAACTCCACGTGCCCTGTGCAATAGAGTTCGGTTCGTAGTGAAGCTGAACATAACTAATCGAGTCGACCCCGATGTGAAACGACTGGAAGAACTGCGGACCCCAAGTCGTGCGCTCTAGTGCCTCTCTAATTGGTTAGTCTGCTTTGGACGGCATTTGACCGTTGGGGATGAGCTTCCCCTTGTACGCCGTATGTTCGGTTGCTGCCAGGTTGGATTCCAGACACCGCGGCTGCCGAGACTAGGATGGATGGATGGATGGAGTTTATTCCGCCCGGCGCTAAGCACCTACAGGGCACACTACGGATATTACGTCATCACATTGCTTCCGGAAATTTTGCTGAACTCCAAACAGCCTATTTGGTTTGTCCTACGTCAGTCCTCCTAGTCCTTCTGTCCTATGTTGCCGCAAACTCGCACTAAGTTAGTGTTGCACAAGCTCTCTTGAAGTCGCTCCTCCAAGTGTTTACTGTCCTATCTTCAGCGAGTGAAGCGTGTCTTGTTAATAGTACGAGGGTGCGTTGGGGGAAAGCAGTTAGTAATAGTAGGTGTAAGGTTGGTGGCGTTGTGTCCTCTATGTGTCTTGGATGGCCGTCACCTGGCTAGGGGCATATTGGTTTGATGAGCTCTCGAGACGGCCTGTAGCTATAGCAAACTGGATCGTCGCCAGGATTGCGTCTACTGCCGGTTTCTACTTCTCGTTGTCCGATGCTGCCTTTCCTCCAAGGAAAAAGGAGAGGTTGCTTCAGGGAGCCTGAGCGTCAGTCCGACGAATTTTCCGAGCCCATCGTCTCCTAGTAGTCGGCTCTTTCTCTTCTCTTCCGGAAGACAGTACAACCACTGGTTGAAAAAATGGGCGTTCTCGTCGTTATTCCGAGTTAAGCGATTGGGGAGATAGTCTTTAGCGCTAGAAGAGACAGCAGACGACGGGCGATTGTGGCCTTTTTAACCAGGAATGGCGCTGTTATAGGAGCTCAACTTGTGCTTGAATCTGCACCTGTCGCCATACTAACACTTCTTGCCGGTCTCGAAGAAGTTGCAGACCCCTTATATTATTTTGTGCAGGCGATGAGGCTATCCGTTAGCCAATGCTATTGTGATCTAGAACATTAGCCTCGGGACTTAGAGAAAAGAAGACAAGCAGCCTTCCTTAAGCAATATAAGACTGGCCGAATAAGTATTAACTCTCCAGGGTCGCTCTCTAGTCGACCGGCACACTGCAAGCGTAGCAGTCGGTTGTTATCGTGCTGCAAAATCGAAACACTAAATATGGAGCCCCAAATTCAATGCATTGCATTTTGCTTGCGCTAACATCTTTGAAAGGAAGGGCGATGCTAGGGAGTCCTATTCGTTTAGCACTCTTTCCTGCGGCATTGAACTTCCTACTCTGCATAGCTTACTGCTAATCGTCCTGGATACGACTCGTTGCGCTTGCTTTCAGTTGCGTGCTCGCAGCCTCGGAGTCTATAGCATGCACGCTCTTGCGGCCGGCTGCAATCGGACCCACTGCTGCGATATAGATGCACAAGGGCGAACTGGGACCATTAGGGGTAATTGCAACTCGCTTTGATTCTTCAGCTTGCAGGCATTACCGGCAACCGGCCAGGTGCGCTCCTAGGACTCCGGCACGAACACCTCAAGCTTAGGCTTCTTCGAGATCCTATGGGAAGCGAGTAGCTACGGCTTCTGATCGAGCTAACGTTTAAGTATACCAAAGGTTACCTAGGTCTGAAAGACACGTGCGTAGTGCCGCCACACCATAATCGGTGTTCAAGGATGTAATCCGGATCGCTAACACTCATCCTAGGAACACGTTTGGTATTCCAGATGTCCCGAGCGAACCTTGTCTTCTTCTCTACCCCTAGATACTCCTCCTAAGCCTAGTGTTTGCCGACGAAGCGTTCGCAGCGCCCGGCCTTACAGGACCAGAGGAGCTTTTCTGTCTGCGGGTGCCTGCAGGTCTCAACCAGCTAGAGTTGCCGATCAAGGACTCTCAGACCGGTGTACTACTTTTTCGGAGACTGGAGAACACCGTGTATGGAGTTGTAGTCTGGGCTACTGCTCCCGCAACAGATAGTATGCAATCTGACACTACGACCAGATAATACAATGGCGCGAATAACAGTGGACACTGCGCTCGTTCCTGAAAACAAACTTCTATGGCTTGCTGGTAGACAGAATCATATCGTTCGGAATCGCGCCTGTGGAAATCTGGAAGACGACGTCGCCTCGCACAGCGGAAGACCGTGGTGGATGAAGCGGGAAAGGGAAGAGAGTGAGGCTAAGAAAGTTTGAAACTGGCATCCAGAGACTTCGGGTGTCTCCCCATCGCGCCTGCGACAGATGATCGGCTGCGCGGCAGACTATCGACGCTCGGCGCAATCACAGGCTTCGATCTTACGGTGAAGCTCTATTGCTTCCGTAGCTAGAATGGAGAGGCTCTCAACACAAGCTGAAACCCGTTCGAGCGCTAGGTGGATCAGTCGATAGACTTCGCTATGAATTCGAAGCTTCGTGCACGATAGCGAAGGTCTCTATGTTAGGTAGGTAGGAGAAAAAATACGGTGCAAATCTCTAAGACTGTCTGCGCAACGGCACAAATCCCCATCGTGGGGAGGTGTGACTCATGTCGCACTGCAGACTTCTTTCAATTCGTAAGGAAAGGGGCCGTTCCCACGTTCACGCTGAATGGCCCCGAACAGTTGAGACTCGGTGCTGAGAGGAGTGAAATTTGAAGCAGCCCTCCTTCGCAAGATAGATGCTGGTTAATCGAGTACAAAAGACCATGAGGGAGCCAGAAGCTTGCTGGGAAGGGCGTGCCTCTGCGTAATAGAGTCTGTAGAGATACCTGCTCGAGGTCCGCAGTTGCATCGACCTCACTAGAAGCCTAACCATGCCGATCGAGATCGCGAAAATAATGATCCAGGGCGCACCCGCCGAAGCCTGGCGGGATATTGCGTTCATTCTTCTGGGTAGCGCTGAGAGTGAATTTCTCACCGCCCGAGATCGGGAGAGCTATATTGAGCGAAGGAATCCGGACCATAGACTGTTAGTGTATGATGATGGATATTCAAAGCTGAAGCTGACACTATTATTCATTTGCTGTGGTTTGGCGACGATGAAAAGCGAAGAGGAAGACAACAACGCGCGCCTCATGGTTTCCCGTAGCGTGGACTCTGCACAGGGCGTCAGCGTCAGGGGTCACCACAAGGATTCGAGCAACTCGCTGTGCCCACTGCCGAGGCTAGCAGAGAGAGCGTGCGTGTGTCGACCAAAAACTTCCATATTCGTGGCAACCACCAACGTTCAATCATACCCGCTCGTCCCTTTACAACAGTGGTCTCTGCGTCCAATGAAAGGAGCACAACGCTGATACAGGGGCTATAGATGAAGCTTCACTCTAGGTGGTCATGATTCCTTGTATCCTTGGCTTTATCAGGATGTCGAAAATGCTGAGCGTAGTCCGGGGGGACTGCCTTGCCCCAATTTTGATGGTGTACGAGAAACACACGGCCTGAGCAAAACGACGGGAAAGATCCTGTACAGCGGGCGTGTAGTGGTCGCCAAATTACACTACGGAGTGCCTCGCTCAGATGCTCGTTGTGTAGCCTATGCGGCTACCACGAAACGCTCGCGATCAAAGTTGTCAAAAGGACTCTTTTTGACATCCTCATCGGCACTTGGGCCTCGTTTAGCAAGTCCTTTGATACACAGCATCGAAAGGAACCACGGGAACAGTTCCATCAGCGCATCCAATCCGAATGTTGATATGGGGACTCATCATCATTCGAGAGTATCTCTGTCAGTGCTGCTTCGCTGAGGAGTTGCTACATTGACTTTCACGACTTTCCTCACGTCTTATCGCGCGGCGAGGATACCAGATCGCGTGTAGATCCACTTTCTGCCCCGCACCGCATCCGCACACTTTGTGTTCCTCGCTGGCAAGTACTTCCTGCTGGTATTGCAGCCTTGCGACGCTGCACTCTCCTCCACATTGGCCCGGGCCAATCACGGGGATCATGAATTCCGATCATGATCTGTATATGCTGCAACACCAGTGCGGTTCTGAGTAACAACAAGCTAGCCACAAGGGCCATCCAATTCATGGAACAGACGCAGATCCTGGGGCAGGATGGGATCGGGGAGGAATAGACGACGTCGAGCGCTGGGCGGAGACAGTAGGTATGCGGACGGCGACACAGGAGGCACTGCCTCGAAGAGCCTAGAATAGAGTAGCAAGCAGAAAAACCAACCACCGCCTGGAGGAGCTTGCCAGGCAGAGACAGACGGTGGTTGAGGAGCAGAGTGAGGGTGAAGGGTCGGCTGGTCTGTGGTTACTTCTGAAGTGAGAACAGGCGACGTGGCGCTATCCCAGCTTGGGATGGCGTCGGCCGGCAGCCGAGCCCTTGCTGCCGGGCATAGCCGCAGTGATTGCGGCTGCAACCGATGTAGGAATCAACCAAACCAAACCAAAAAAACCAACCAACCATCGACGCGGAACATGTCAGACACAGAGGGAGATACCATCGAGGTGGTTAATCCATCATCGCAACGACGACCAAGATTGAAATTGAAGTTCGCCGCCGCGGCGCGCGGAACTGCGACGGGGAGCGGGAGCCAGCCTCTTCCCGCACCGCACCCGCTACCCGGCGACGATCCAAACCCGCAATCTACCGCTAATACAGACAAGTACACGACAGCGATTTCTAACATTGACAAAATCTACGCGGCCCTGGCCACATCAGACAGTCTGAACGCGCTTCCCCCTCTCCTCCTTCGCGAAGTCCTGTCCGAAGCAAAATCTGCATTCACGATCCTCCGACAGCAAACCCACCAACCGCCGGACCTCCGACAGGTCCTGAATGAGGTTCGCGCAGTAAAACACGCAATCTAGGACCTGCCGACACCCCCTCAGTCTCCTCCTGCCCGCCCAACATGGGCGCAAACGGCGGCAGCGGGAAGCACCGAGCCTCCGCTAGCCATTCATCGCCGGCCATGCCAGACACGGACCGCGGAGATCACCATCCGGCTGGGAGATATCAAAGACAGAGAGGAGGTGCATAAGCTGCCCGCCGAAGCGATTGTGCAGAAAGTGCAACAGACCCATCCCGCCTGCAGAGAAGTCATCGCAGCTCGAAAACTTCCGAGCGGAGATGTCCGACTGTACCTGACGGGAGAAAACGCGAGACATGCGATCCTTCAGGCGCCCGAATGGGAAAAGAGCCTAGGGAAGTCTGGGAGGAAAATAGAGAAATATTATCAGATTATGGTCCACCACGTCCCCCGTGCGGCGATCGAGACCGAGAGCCCGGACGCGCTCCGCGCAATCGAAGACCAGAACCAGACCCTGCACCCTGGGGTCAAGATTGCGAAGGCCAAATGGATTCGTCGGACATACCCTGCAGGCTAGACACATTCATCCCTCCTGCTCGCATTACCCACAGCATAGAGCGCAGATCGGATTATCCACAAGGGCCTCGTGATCGGTTACTCTCTCCACCTGGCCGAATATTACAGCTCGGAACACTAGATCACACAGTGCTTCAAGTGCCACCGATACGGACACATCGCGCAGAGCTGCCGCCAGATCGAGGCCTGCGGACACTGCGCGGGATCACACCGCACGGAGCAGTGTACGAACCAGGACCGACCCCAATGCACCAACTGCAAGAGACTACACCCCGCGTGGTCCAAAGACTGCCCCGTCCGGAGCCAGGCGAAAGCACGCGCGCAGCAACTTCGACAGACGGGACCCCGGTTTCATCGGACATTGGACCAGGAGGCGGTTCCGAGCCGGACCGACGGCGACTGGCAAACAGTCGAGAATCGAAAGCGAAAGTACAACGGGCCGGGACGCCCACCGGGACGCCCTCTAGCAGCACATGGTTCGGGCGCCGCCAGCCAGAACCGGCGACCGTCGACCACAACACCCGCACAGTCTCAAACGGAGCCGATCGAGATCGATGCATAGAGCCGAGGAAACGATCAACATTATACAGTACAACGTGCACAAAAGCAAGGACCAGGTCATGCGAGCGCTGAACGCGGTGCTCCGACCGGACTACCACCACATAGTCGCGATTCAAGAACCGTGGAGAAACCCACGGATGCACACGACGATACGCCCGGCGAATTACGAACTCGCCTACCCCTCGAACGCCAAGACTCGCGCATGCTTCTACGTGAGCAAGCACCTCGACGCGCAACGATGGAAAATCACGGAGCGCAGCCCGGACCTCATCACGCTCAGTATCGAACTGGAGGACCGGAAGCTCCACATTCACAATTGCTATAACGAGCCTCCGCGGTCGACGACCAGCCAAGCCCGAGGGGTCCTCGACCTGCTCCCGGCAGCACTAGCGGAGCCAGGAGAGCATCTCCTGGTGGGGGATTTCAACCTCCACCACCCGTTCTGGGGAGGAAGCACCGTGCTGGTCCAGCACGCCCTCGCCGACGCGCTCATCGACATTACAGAACAGGCACAACTCCAGCTCACCCTTCCGCCCGGAACCGTAACGTGGCAGAGTCGACAGAGCGAGAGCACGCTGGACCTTGCATTCGCCACGGAGTGGATCGCTCAGAGGCTTCTACAGTGCCAACCGCACGAGGAGGTCAACTCCGACTCCGACTACATCCCGATCATCACCTCCATCCTCGCAGCTCCGATTGCAAGACGAGAACCCAGAGCGCAACGAGCATGGAAGAGAACAGACTAGACCACCGTCCGACACGACCTCATGCATCGACTCACCCAAGCGTCCACGTACCCTCGACCGTCAGATACAAACGGCGATATCGACCAGAAAGTCACCCTACTCCAGAAGACAATTACCGAAACCATTCAAGCGACGGTGCCTATTAACCGACCGCGCCGGTAGATCAAGACCGGGTGGACATAGGAGTGCACGGACAAAGTGGCTGCCGCGAGGAGAGCAAGACGTCAATAGAGCGCAAGCAGGAACGAGGACGACTACGTGGAATACTAGAGAGCGAGAAACGCGAAGAAAAAGCAGATTAAGGAGGACACGACTATCCTATAGCGCGAAGCAGTAGAGAAACTTACCAAGGAGCCTCGGACGATATGGAGGCTCGCGAAGTAGGCTCGGACGTCGGCGTACACACCTCCGCCACTTCCTCACTTCCCGACGATTACCGATCGCAACGGCCAACACACTACAAACGAGGCAAAAGCAAATGCACTAGCAGACCATTTCTTCCCGCCTCCGATACCAGCGGACCTCAACGACATCGCCCACCACACATACCCCCCCGAGCTCGACATACCGCAGGAGGTGACCCCGGGGGACGTCGCGGCAGTGCTAAAACGTCTTCCGCCGGACAAAGCCCCGGGACTAGACGGCATCCCGAACCGGTTCCTGCGCGAGTGCAGAGGCATCTTAGCCCGGCCACTTGCAGCACTATTCCAGGAATGCCTGAAGCGAGCATACCACCCGACACCTTTTCGACATACGAATACCGTCGTCCTGCGAAAGCCAGGAAAGCCGACATACGATACGCCTAAAGCATACCGGCCTATTGCGCTGCTAAACACACTTGGGAAGGTGCTAGAAACCATTGTCGCGAGGCGGATCACGACGCTCACTGAGGCGCACCACCTCCTCCCGGACACCCAGATAGGGGCACGGCAGAAACGATGCACCATAACTGCCCTCGAGCTGCTCGTAGAACAGGTGCAGACCATCTGGGCAGCCGACTACAAATTGGTGGCGACACTGCCTAGCCTCGATATATCGGGGGCATTCGACCACGTGTCCCACGACAGACTGGTCCACAACCTCCGAATTACGGGAATCCCCGCCTAGATCGGACAATACGTCCCCTCGTTCCTGCGCGACCGCACGATATACCTCACCCTCGGCGACTTCTAGAGCACGACACGGGCAATTGCTACCGGAATTCCGCAGGGCTCGACCCTCTCGCCGATTCTCTTCTTGTTCTTTGCGTCAACACTCCTACCCGAGCTTAATAATCGAGACACTAGCGCAGTAGGGTTCGTGGATAATACGAACATCCTCACCTTCAGCCGCTCGACCGAAGAGAATTGTCGAAAACTCGAGCGAGCACACGAGACGTGCGCTAAATGGGCCCGAAAGCACGGTGCGACGTTCGCGCCGGAGAAATACCAGCTAATGCACCTGACTCGAAAGCCGAGACTATTTAACATGCAGGCTCCGCTTCGCGTTGCGGGATCCTAGTACGAAGTATAGCCCACGATCCGGATCCTAGGAGTCCATCTAGACCCCAAGCTAAAGTGGGGTCCACACATCCGGAAGACCACCGAACGAGCGACAGCACAGATGGCAGCGGTCACGCGGCTCGCACACAGCATATAGGGCGCCGCATTCTCGAAGGCGCGACAAATTTACCTCGCAGTCGTACGGCCGGCGATGTCGTATAGAAGCCCGATCTAGTATAATCAAATAGACCAGAGAATTGGGCAGAACAAGGGCGTCTACCCACTTCAGGTAGTCCAGAACCGGTGCCTCCGCGCGATCTCGGGAGCGTACCGGTCCATAGCGACGGCCGAGCTAGAGCATAAGACGGGAACGGAGCCGCTTAACCTCTTCCTAGAAAAGACAACACGGGAGTATACGGAGAAGGCGGCGACGATGCCCGCCCACGGAATTATTGACAGAGCACGCCGGCACGTAGCTTTGCAAGCTCGAGCCCAATACAGGGTAAGAGGCGACGGCTACGCACGGCGCATGCAACAACTGCAGGAGACTAGAAAGGACGACCGACTCGATAAGACTATTACTCCTAGAGTGGCCGCGCGTAAGGCCTAGAGCGACCGATAGCGGACGTACCAGCACGGAGCACAGACCGCACACGACGCCACTCGGCGGCAGACCGCCACGGCAACACGTGCAGATTTTTACCCCCGCCTGGACAAAATCCGAGCACGGCTGGACAAGGCAGGGAATACGATCGCAACGCTTCTACGGACAGAATACATCGGGCTGAATAACTACCTCCACCGCCGAAGGCTACCCGGCTACGAGTCCCCGGCGTGCCCGTGCGGGTTCGCGCGGCAGACGGCGAAACATATTGTGCTATTCTGTCCCCGCTTCGAACGGGATCGCGACAAGATGACGCGGGAGGCGGGGACGCAAGATTATATCGAAATGCTATCGACGGAGAAGGGGCTCCGCGCAGTAACGGCGTAGTTCTTAGAACAGAACATTCTTCCGCAGTTCAGCCTAGCGCAGGAAATGTGGAGGAAACGAGGCCGGCGAGGAAGGAGGGAGGGGCGCGACGTCGACGACTAACGCTGCCCAGGCTGCAGGAGAAGCAGCTCACGGTTCGAGCAGTTCGCTGGCGTGAAAGACGAACAACAAAGGTAGAGGAGCTTTTCACCCGGGCCCCGGCCACGGTTTTTCTCTTTAGCGAATAAGTAGCAACTCCCGCATAGACCCGCAAGGGAACCACATCGGTGTAAGAAATATGAATGAATGAATGAAGCATGTGATTCTACACTGCCCCCTGTGGGCATCTCCGTGATGCGCACTGCAAGAGGCTGCCGGCGACAGATGGGGTGATGTGTCCTTCCTACTAGGCGGGCAACGTCGAAAGAAAGTCCCAAGGACGGGACTAAAAATAGACGGAGATGGATGGCGGCCAAACCTGAAGATGGTGTGGGCGACGGTTACGTTCCTCGAGAGTATGGGCAGGTTTGCACCTCAGAGCCCAACGTCAGATATCTAACAGTGCTCTCACCGAGTGGCTCTCCCGGTCACACTCGCACAAAAACTGATATAGGAACATTTCTGAGTCAATGCAGCAAACGAGAGCATAAACGTAAGGTCCACGTTTAGGGACAGCTCATACACGCATTAGATCTGTGCATAGCTATACTGAATAACATAACATAGCTCTCTTGAATGCGAGAATAACGCGGTTCCAGACCTCCGGTCGCTCCTATGAGAGCTACTGGAGAGCCAATTCCGCAGAAGCGCATGTACACTGCTAAACTTCTGAATCTCTGCAAGGACAATGGGAAAGTAATTGTGATGTACTCTCTAGCAACCAATACAACAATGGCCCTATCTTGCTATTAGTAGTACTCGCAAATAACGACGCCAATATTACTTACGCAGCCTTCATAGCAGTTACCACAAGGATGATTAAGCCAGCAATATGCACAATTATGCCGCTTCTCTAGACCGTGCTTTTCGAGACCAAAATAGTTCTCTAGGCTTCTTAGACGTGTTGTAGCTGAAGCAGTCGCGGTAAGGACAGCTAGGACAACGATGTAGAATGACCTCATTCTTGTCTTTTAGCTTGAGCGAAGCGGTTTGGTTGTCAACTTTGTTGCAGTAGTCTTCCTAATCAAATCGAAACTAGGAAAATGAGGTACTGAACGCCCTTTTATAGGGCACTTAGCTACCCTACCCTGTCTGTACTGCGGTTCCGCGTATGCATGTAACGACCTGTAAACTCAAATACTGATGAAAATCGCGCACAAACATGACCTTGAAGATGTTTCCAATGTTATCTCGAATGTAATCCGATAAAATCGTAAATATTCGCCTGCTTACAAGCATTCTTAATGTCCGCATCTATGATGTCTTTACTCTTATATCCAGCGCTCAGGTCCATTAGGGCTAGCCTTGGAAAACCCCTCTCTACTAGAGCTTTACGCGCTCTAAGTTAGAACGCGGCCGAGCTATATTTGTTCTCCCCTCAACTAGTAGGGATGTCCCTGTGAAAGAATGTAAGCACTAGACAGTGTGCAAAGAATTCTGGGAGGGTAACTTACATTAGTCAGGTGGAAGTGATCTAAGTTACGCATTTACCGGTTCAACAATAGTTATATGCTTCTCGGCTGTAGTCGCCTAGGCTGCTGCATGTGCGCGCTCGTTGCCCAGAATTCCTTTGTGTCCCGGAACCCACAAGAACTTGACTTCCCGACCTTGATCTTTGATGCTCTGCATTTCGCGGAGAGTCGCCGAAACGAGAGCTTCTAGCTTCCTGGACCTTGCGCCGTTTTCGATCCGGCGCAGCGCTTCTTGGCTGTCAGTGACGATCCACCCGGTAATTCCAGCCCTTCCTAAATGCTCCACTGCTGTTTTGATGGCCCACACCTCGGCGGCCGTAGGCGTGCACGTCTTTTCTCGTCCGATCGTTGCTCGGCACACTACTTGAAATCCCACGTGAGCCCGCCTAGGATCGTACCGCACAACCGCGATTCCCGCCCATCCATTCCGGACCGACGCGTCGGTGTAGTAGACAACGTCCTTCGCCGTAGCGGCAGATATTTTTTAGTGGAAGCGCATCGCTTCTGCGGCCTCATGAACGAACACCATCTGTTGCTTAATGATTACCTGCACGAGTGAGAAGTGGGGGAGGATGCGCTATTCTAGGAACCATGTCGTCACCGCGCGCAGCCCCTTCGCTAACCGAACGATCCTCGTCTAGCAGACTAGGTACTTGGATTAACTGTTTGCACGAGCGCACAGCATTACATGCCAGGATACCTGGCAGTCCACTAGGACCTCTGCAAGCAACACGGGAATAGTATAAAGACACAACTATCGTTTGCATATTCAGAGTCAGGCCGAGGAAGCTTGCAATCTGGCAAAAGCCTTGCCGAGGATCAGCGAAAACAGTTATCGCTGCTGCGAGAAACGCATACTGAAGCGGTTTACGGCTTTGCAAAGTCCTCTGAGTGCCGCAGATTAGCAGCTCTAGCTTC